GGCAACCCACCTGCAGTAGATGTGCTCGGTGTGAGGTCTTGCAGCAAGCTATCAAATACGGTGCATTTCTCGGCTTTTAACAAAATGCTGTACGTCGCCAGGTGTTTCATCAGATTCGAGGAGTTACCTCCTTTGCACAGTATCAGCTTAAAGCACTTGTTGCAAGCTGCTGAGTTTGCATCTTTTGCTGTGAAGTACAGCCAGAATTTGACCACTTCGCCTTGGGCATTTTTAATCTGTAGCTCTGCTCTAAAAGAACCTACGTACCTGGGCCTGCCTACTATCCTCGGAAAGGTAAAATGATTGGCTAGAATCCAAAGTGTATGACATCTCAGGAAAAAAAAGCACCGAAATAAAGCACCGAAATGTGCGCTGCTTTTCGGTCTGGTTACTACCGTTTATGTCAGAACCAGTGCGGATACCGGTACCCATCCCTAGCTATAAGAGCTGTTGACTTGGCAACAAACACAAAATAAAACAATAGCAAACAAAAATCCAATCAGGCCTGATAGGTGGCTAGCCGCACACACTGGCGCCATCTTCCTGCCAACATAAAATGAAGATTATGAGTCATCAAAATGAGTCACCGGAGCTAGTTTCTCCTCTTTAAGCTAATCTTCTTTCATCTAAGAAAAAGTGTAAAAAATTAGACTCTGACAAAGAAGGAGGAGAGAGATGAGGAGAAGGGAGATTTAGGCTCAGATCAAGAGAGTGGCAACACAGCAGTGTTTATTTATACGCTTGGTACAGCATGTTTTGCTCCATTTATGCTTCAGATACAAATGATCCTAATGCTCCTCAGTCAAAATGAGATCAAAGAGCCATGGAGCTATAAAAGAAGGTGGGTGGGGGGACAGTAATATTTAAGAGGGTAGATGAGAAAATCGATCCCCAAGACAAGAAATTTTTCCATATTTATATTTGTTTAATTTCTCTATCAGTCTTCCCAAATTTAAAAACATTCTCTTCTCGCATGAGTCCATAACATAGATTCTTCCCCTGCTATGTCTATATAGCACAGCTGAATTAAGACAAATCCCCTTATAGAAAAGTGCACTGAGGATTTACTGTTAAAGGATACACACAGAAACTACAAAAGAGCCAGTTCATTATTTCCTTATTTTAATCGATTGTGTGCTTCAGGAGAAACCTTTCATCAAACATTAGATTCAGTAAAGCAACCTGAATTGAGTCAAATTGAATTGACACAAAGTGGTAGAGAAAGAGAGCCACGGAGCGAGGCAAGGGAGGGACGCAGGGGCAGTAAGAGCGGGGGGGGGGAACCCAAAACATCCAAGATGGTGAATATGAGAGAGAGAGGTGGAGGGAGTAAATTGGCGAGACAGAGAAATGTGAGGAGAAAGGTGATAAAAGCTCAGCGGGACAAGATGCTTAATGAGAGAACAATGAGTGAGAGACATTGAGAAGCGCGTGGCATAGAGAGCTGACGGCAGAGGTATAGGTGGAGAGAGAGAGAGAGAGGGACGCTTTGTCAGATATGATCAAAAGAATCTTTATGTGCAACATTTGAAGGCAGCCTCATGCAGCAAGACACACAATCCCTCACAGTAAGGGCAGTAAACGAAATGGAGGGAATGTGGAGAATTTTAAGACACTGCTCCTTGCTTAGACTGTCTCTGTGATTGTTGCCTTCTAATCTCTGTCACTCATCTCAATCGCCTTCTGTTTTCCTCTGTCTCCTCTTTGGTCTCTCTGGTTTTCTTTTTATGTCACCATCTTCCTCCATCTCTGTCTCAGTAGATCGTTGTTTTTCCTCCATTTGTAGCCAGCCAACCTGCACTGCTTCACTCTCTGCTTCGCGCCGCGGGAGGGTAGAAATTAATTCCCACTCCCATTAGAAAAACAAGCGTTTTGGATGGCAATCAAGATAGCAACCTGGAGCTGAAGCAAGCTATCAAGGCAAAATCTTGATTGTTCACTGAGCACTTAGGAAGCAGGAGAGTGTTTGAAAATAGAGACGAGGCGCACCCAAACTTCTTATCTTGTTTTCGTGTGAAAAGTGGAAGGAAGCATCCACATGTGACGTGAGTTCGGAATTTCAGGGACAGAATCGGAATGGGACAAATTACACAGACAGGTGATAAGGCGGCATGCTGATACTGAAATGATTCAAGCCATGTCGGACTCATGAAAAAAGGAGCCCAAAGGTATCAGAAAGTTTATCTTGGTCCAAAAAAAAGACTTCACTGCTTGATCCTCTACCTGAACAGAGTTTACAGCGTCACTGGTTTGTGGCACTGTGGTTGCAAAGAAGTCCTCATATTGTAACCAATAACATATTGTTTGTTTGTCCTTACAGAGCCTCTGACCCTTTTACAGTGCTTTAGTGTAGATTAAAAAAGATAAGAGTTAAGGTTATAGAATGATCATGGTTAAAGAAGAAAACTATATAAGGACTTAACAGGTATAAACAGGATCAACATAGCTGCCATGATCTCACCCACTATCTGAGATGACCACATTCTTTCTTCAATATAGCCTGAACTCTCTTAGGCAAGCTTTGTTGTACCTTCTTTAAGTAGTCGTTAGAAATAGTTCTCGAGGCTTCCTGACAGACATTGAAGCGTGTCTTTGCATGTTGGATGTGTCTTCATGCATTCCCTGTCAAGATGTTTTTCAATATTCTTCTATGCTGAGTTCAGGGCTCTGTGAAGCCCATTGTGTGGTTCTGTGTAAGGATGTTTTACTGCACTGGCAGTGTGTTTGGGATCCAGCGGAAAATGAGGGCACTGGCAATCAGACACTTTCCAGATAGTGGTTTAAAAACTGACTGTATTTACTCTTTCTCTTTATTTATTTAATTATTTATTTATTTTTTGCATCTCTGAGGTCCTGTGACGCATCTTTGCTGGTGTTTTCTTATTTCTTAAGGACATGACTTTCAGATACTGCTCAGCTGCAGTCCAAAACTCTTTACGCCTGCCTCTTATTTTCCCCTCAATTTGTCTTTTGTTTTGTTTTTTAAGCTACACTGCGATCTGTGGTTGTCAAACTGTGATCTTTGGCATTTTCATAGCTTCAACTAAAGAAATGTTTTTGTGGCAGCTTGCTGATAATGAATTATCCATAGATACAATTTAAAACTGGTTCTTTGATATATTGTCTTTAATGACTAGACACAACACTGGTTCATCCCTTAAGTTAGGTGCCTTTTTTTATGCTTGAATGATTCATAGGTCCATGTTAAGTGGTTTAACAAACAAAAATATTCCTCTGAAAATGATCAAACAAAAGTACTGGACTGAAAACGAATAAAAAAAGCAGCCAATGTTGAAAGAAAACCATTGAAAGAGATCTATTGCTCCTGGCAAATTAAAATAATTATATAAGAAAGCCTGACTTCTTGGAATAAAATCTAGAGAAAAGAGGTGGACTTTCTGCATAGCACTGTAAAGCAATGACTACTGATCCATGTTTCTCTTTATCAGAATTCTTAAGCAATTTTTAAAAAACAATTTCAGCAGAGGTCAAGGATTAGTGCGCTCGTTATTCATTTATTTATTTATTTATTTTCTCTGCAACTTTTTATGACCTTGGCCAGGTCAGCAGCTTCAATGGCCTGATAAACTGGGCATAATTTGTCCGAATTTCAGGAGCAGACGCAAACCTCACACACTACACGGGTTTGTTTTGTTTTGTTTCGTAGACTGAAACGTATCAGCACTGTGTCAAGGTGTTTTTGTCAATGGCAACCATTAAAGCAAGGCCTGTAAACAAAGGTCACATGGATTTAAGTCACTCATTTACTGAGCTGGGGTTTGTTAACCTGTCATTCTGCCAGCTTTGACCTTTTCAGAGTGAGAGGGAATCAAACTCAATCTGATTCCACATCTTGTAACCCACGCTAAGCATGATTGACTTACAAGCACACGTTTCAGGATGTAGAAACCAGCTAAGGAGGAGGAAACAGATGGAAATCAGCAACAGTTCAGATTTTAGTTCACCCTCAGCCATACTTACTGTTTGGGGACTTGCAAGCATGAAGATTTTTTTTGCAATCTGATATCATGCTTCATTTCTTTTTAATCAAAAATGTCATATCTTTGTTACCTTGTTGCATTTTCTAAGAAACCTAGAACCGAATTTGAAGTACTGTTTCGAGACATTGTCCTCATCGGCCTAGATGTGTAATGAAGGGAAAAGGGGTGGAAGAATTTGTCAAAACCTCAATCACTATATAGTGATTAGTATGATATTGACTACATAGGGTTAAATATTTCTTATCAAAAAATGGAGGAGGCTTGTATCTGCAGTTCAATGGAGGAAAGGAAAACAGTTTGTCATTCTTTTTCACATAATGCCCCGAGGTTTGCCAGCTGATATTCAACCAGTGGCCAGTTGGGCAGTGATCCAAAGTACAGTAATAAAGGTGCTCAGTTCAACAACTTCTACTCTCCTGTCCAAATCTTACTCCTTTCCGAACTAATTGTTGGTGGAACTTAAATTAAAAATAGATAAATTCGAGTTTGTCCAGACTTTTCCTCAGAAGGAGAAACAAAATCTGTGTATCATAATTGAGTTATATATCACTCATAAAATGTGAAATTGATTTGCTTTTATGCAGATCTTTCAGTGTTAATTGGGCTGTGGTGTAAAGAGAAAGTTGGAGTGTGACTAATGCGAGTTTTAGAACTTGTAGTCTTAAAGTCATTTCTCTCGCCAGCCTTTTCAGCTGCCTCCTCAGATAACCCCGACAGAAGATTGCCCGACAGTCAACCATCCATCTTTGTTCTGTACATCTGCACTCTTCCCTTCCTCTCCCCTCCCCTCCCATCAATAAAGAAGGCAGAAAATGTACATCACTCCGGACTGTGTGAACATAAAACCTAAACCAAAGTAAAGCCAAACTTTTAAGTTCTTAGTGTTTTTTGTATGTGCTCAGTCCCTCGGTATTTATGGCCAAATCAAAGAAGCAGTTACTCAGCTCTGCTTGGAATGTATTTAATCTCCCACTTCACCATTTATTACTGTCTCTGCAGGTGCTTCTTTCTTGGGTTACTGGCTGAGGTGTTATACCCAGGTGCACGTGTGCAGGTAAGCTCTTCTCCATGCATGAGACACATCCCTCGCTTGCATGCTTTGTCATGCAGATCATGCAGATCAGGATCGTCCACTAATTGGAAGGTTGGTGGTTCAGTCCCTGTCAAAGTATCTTTGGATGAGATGCTGAACCCCTGTTTGTTCTGTGATGCATCCACTGGAGTATGAATGTTAAATAGAAAGCACTTAAGTATAGAAAAAAAGTGCTTGTGTGAATGAGGCATGTTGTATGAATCACTTTGAATGTTTAAATAGAAAAGCATTATATAAGAACCAGTTCATTTACCTCTCTTTTTGTTACTGAATTTTTTGATGAAGTGGTGATGAAACTTCTGTTAAACAAAAAGCTAAAAAAAAGCTAAATTATAACTATTTTTATTATTAAAATGTTAACAACCTTGACCTGCTGCCAATCATTATACCAATGATTGTGAGAAATACTTCTGAATTAAGTTTAGCAGAAGATGATACGATGGCACAGCTTTAACATCTTTGGCAGCCAGACCAACAGCAGCTCCTTTCGCCAGTGGTTAGTTTGAAATATAGCGATGCTTCATTGATATTGAGTATTATGTCACACAGCAAACAAATAATCCAGTGAGCTAACCAGGGCAGTATGCAGATGTGTATATCTGAAAACCACAACAAGTATCAATATGCCAGATTCCAACAATATATTTCTATGATGTGCTCAACAATTTCCTGCTTTGATGCATAGTTTGGAGACAGAAGGTGGAGATGGAGGTGGAGTTAAAATGCTAATATTTTTACTGGGAGTGACCAGGTGGGGCAGGATTGGAAACGAGTACATAGACGGTACAGCTTGTGTTGGTGTGACAGAAGAGGATGCTAGGGTTAGGGGGAGATGGAGACAGATGATCTGCTGTGGCAAACCCTAAAGGAAACCACTGAAAGAAGTTCAGCAGTGAAAAATCATCTATAGAACACAAACAAGAAGCATCAAGGGAGATGATTTTATCAAACCAGACCGCAGCAGTGAACAACAATGAAAATCAAGCAATTCGCCAGCTAGCTTGGAAATAACTTATTCCTGAATTAACCAACTGTATCAGACCTGAACTGATATACAGATAAGGGCTATGTGGTGATGCTGTGGGGAATTAGAAGCTGCTAATATCTAGCCCTTAAATTGGGACTCAGGCAGCGATGTGTGTAATTATTTAAAGTAAATCTGGTGAAACTATTAAGCATCATTAACCTTTTGTTTGTATCGAGAAACGCCACTCTACACATACCACATTTCCACTGCCTGTTCAGCTGTGCGGTATTCATTTTTGATTAAATAAAATTGTAGCACAGAAGATGAATCATTTTGATGACATCATGATTCTCATTCAATTATTACCGCACACAAGGACTACATAGAGACTTTGATTTTAAAAAAAAAATCTGCTGGCCGAATTCATATGAATGAATACGCTGGCTTCCTGATTGTTAATGTTTAGGCATGTTAGATATGAAAGTGTGAAAGAAAATCAGCTGAATTTATATTTCTGCCATGTCTACATAGAAGTTTTGCTAAAATAGCAGCAGCTTCATGCTTCTATCACTATGTTCATTACATCACCAATGGCTTTAGTAAATGGGTGCATTTAGACTCAACCTCAAAAATCTTAAGGTCATGACTTAAAATTAGTTTGATCCATCCAGTCTGTCTTTTACAGCATTGTCACCTTTTTTCAGTATCTAGTGAAGGTTTGGCCTCTAAAAGACCCCCAAATCATTTTACAAGCCCCACTCTACTTTCCTTTGTTCTGTTTTCTTTCTCCACTCTCTTGCTTGCTTCCTCTATTTTGTCATGAATGACATAACTGTATGGCAGGAAATTGAACAAGGCCAATTTAAGTGTTATATATTTTTGTCCACATGTGTGTTGTCATCAAAGAAGAGAGAAAAACTAAAACGAAATGGCCCCACTTCAAAATTGTTGGTTCAAAATAAACTTGCACAAATCTCATTTTTGAAGTTCAGTTATATATCTCTCTTCTAAAGGATTATTATTATTTTATGGTTATTTTAGAACCTAGTTGTTTCTCACTGACCCACTGCTTTAAGTAATTTTATTCACTCTGCCTTTATTGAAGTTGCCGTGGGAACGCTAATGAAAAAAGGATATTTTTAGTCTTGGAAAAAAAACATTTTAGACAGTTTTTAGAAACATTAGAAAAGTATGGTGGTCAAATAGATTGTGTATATGATTGGTGTTATTGTCAAGTTGCAGAAAGACTTTAGGTCCAAAAACTTGCCCGTCTGATGATATTGTGTCAAAGATAATCTAAACAGCTAAAAGACATCTAAAACATCTGTACAGTCCTGTACGTGTAAAGTAAGTGCTGTTACTGCCTGAAGCACATATCAAGGAAATGTCAAGCTCAGTTTATGCCAGTGGTGGATCAGGGTTGGACAGTTTCCACACAGAGGATGTGACATGACTCGCTCAGAGTATTTGATGTGTAGCATGGGAATTAAAGCAAACAACAGGTGGAAGTCAGGAGATGTGATGGAGACTGATGGTTTTTAAATGTGTAGGGAAATGAAAAGGGCATTGATAGAGATGGAAAAGACTGATGAAAAGGTGAAGATGGGGAAGATATGAGCTATCAAAAAGCCAACAGACCTTGGCTCATATGAAACCAACCGCTATCAGGAAAAAAATAAATAAAACTGCCAAAGAGCGAAATGAGAAAGTAGCAGGCCGAGGTCAAACTTTCAAATGAAGATATATGAGAATATTATTTAAAAGGAAATTCCAATTTAAGTTTAACTCTAATCATCTAGGGTTTTTATTTTAATCTTCCATATTATTACACGGTCCTGGGTTCATGCAAAAAAATAATGTATGAATAGAATTTGCAATGTACAGTAGAGCAGAAAATCTCAAGATGAGTGCAAACTAATGGAGAAGGTAAACTGTAGGCAAATAAGCAGTGAAGATTTATAGCTAGTACATTTTTACAATGCAGCTCAAACTGCCTTGTATTAATTATATACTGAGTAATAAAGAGCCAATTTATACAAATTGACTGTTCCAAACAAAATGACTTTAGCCAGTTTTAACACTGAAGCATTAAGTGCTTTGCCTCCAATTAGTGAATTTTCTCTTGAAGAGCTTAAAAGCTAAAATAGAACCCTTCTCAGTTAAGAACATGGTAGCTTTAGATTTGTAGCTGGGTTAGCTTCAAGTCCTGCATATAGTAGAAAAATCCATCATTATCCATGTCCTCTAAAACAGAAAAGTCCACTAAAGAAAAAAAAACCCTAAAAAATAATGGTTTTATATAACTATTTTATGCATAATATAACTACATTACTAATCACGTTTACCAGCTGCTATAATCTCATGGAGTAAAAAATACTGTAACTGTCTGTCCTTCACCCCTTCACCAAGTTGGAGAGAATTTATACACAATATAGAGTTTAATGTTTCAACCACATGTAGGGGAAAAGGAAGCAAAGACGGAGATTAACGAAAGCGGACTAGGAAGAAGATGCAGCAAAACGAGTACACAAGACAAGTCAAGGAAGAGGAGAGCTGTGAAAGATTTGTGGCCGCAATGAGGTGTGAAGCTAGACTACAGGAGGAAGAAGGGTGAGGCGGAGAGAGGCTGGGGATGACTTAAAGGAGCTAGATGTGGAGAACAAATGCAAGGGACCTAGAGAGCGAGGCACAGAGGATAAATGCATGAAGGAGAGCAAGAACTGAGGAGGACAGAAGAGATTGAAGCCAAAATCTGCTAAAAATAAGTATTTTTCTGTCCTAGCGGGGAAGTTGTACAAAATGAAATAACTTAGGCATATTAACAGTGTATTTACACCTACAGCTGGAGGGAAGATAAAATGTTTTAAAGGCTCATGTTGTGCGGGGACACTGATTAGATTCTTCAGCCTACTTCAAATTGACTTAATGAGACTAACTTTCCCCAAACTGATTTTTCCTCACACACTCTCAGATATTTTGTGGTCTTATTGTAATTATCTGCTTATATCCTGTCATCAGTGTCATCCATCATAGCTTTGGTTTAATGAATTTCAAAGCTTTCAGTCATATTTTTAAATAAGATTACTGAGCCCAAGAAACATAAGCCAAACACAGATATTTTCATAATAATAGTGTTGATGGCTGTATCCAGAATGTTAGATTAGATTAGATGTTGTTTATATGCTACTACTAAATATTCCACAGTCAGCGGTTAGTGGTATGATAACAAAGTGGAAGTTTTTGGGAATGACAGCAACTCAGCCAGGAATTGGTAGGCCATGGAAAATCATAGAGCAGCAGATCAGCGGATGTTGAGGGCCATAGTACGCAGAAGTCGCCAACTTTCTGCAAAGTATATCACCACAGACCTCCGAGCTTCATGTGGCCTTCAGATTACCTCAACAACTGTGTGTAGAGAGCTTAGTGTAATGTGTTTCTATGGATGAGCAGCTGCATCCAAGCTTTACATCACCAAGTGCAATGTAGTTCTGTAGAGCAACTGGACCTCTAGAGCAGTGACATGTTCTCCATCTGGCAATCTGACAGATGTGTCTGAGTTGGCAGTTGCCTTAGAATGATATTTGTCTGATTTTAAAGTTTTGTGGATGGGGGGGATTATGGTCAGGCTTGGTGCCATAGTTCCAGTGAAAGGAACTCTTAATGCTTCAGGATACCAGGACATTTTGGACAAATCATGCTACCAACATGGTGGGAACAGTTTGGGCTCCTTCATGTTCCAACATGACTGCACACCAGTGCACAAAGCACGGTCCATGAATAAGTGAGTTTGGTGTGGAAGAACTTGACTGGCCTGTGCAGAGTCCGACCTCAACCTGATAGAACACCTTTGGGATGAATTAGAGCTTAGACTGAGAGCTGGGTCCTCTCATCCAACATTAGTGTCTGACCTCACAAATGCACTTCAGGAAGAATGGTCAAAAAATCCGATAAATACTCCTAAACCTCGAGGAAAGCCTTTGCAGAAGAGAGGAAA